AAAATACATTGATTGTCACACAAACAGTAGTAATATAATATTATTTAATTCATTTAAATTTAATTTAACTAGTATTTCATTATAAAGTCCTCGCTCTAGTTATCAATCAATATTAACTTAAATACTTTGTGACAAACAAATAATTATTGTATAGTCATCTTTGAGCAAATAAAATTAAAAGTATCTACCGAAAAGCAGTGATTAAAACTTAAAATTTCTTGAGCGTATAAGAATTTATCTGCCATAAATAAACAAATCACTTTGTCTGCCTAAAATCATTCTATAATACAGATAGATTGTTCTTGTTTGCCGTCGTCCAGAATATATCACTTCCAGTACACTTACTGGTCATGCTTGTTTACACAATATTATTACAGGATCAGGTTTGAGGAATTCATTACTGCAATAGCAATCAATCGAATATCAATGTCCGGTGAATTTAATATCAGTGGAATTTGTCATACCATTACTAAGAGATCCATGTTGGATTCTGAATTATTCAGTTACAAATCTGAATACAAATTTAGCTCAGAATTCGAGTGGATATGTTATAAAGTAACCTTTGTGAATTTGCTTTAACATTCCAATTGTTTCGTGTAGATTATCCTATTAATATTATAAATGTGTAAATTTCTTTGTTTAGATGTTTGTATGTCAATCACGCCGAAACTACTGAACGGATTTTGATGAAATTTGGTATACAGATAGAGTGTTAGCTGACTTAGATAATATGATACTTTTTATTCCACTAAACATTTCCCTAGGGCCCACGCGGGCGAAGCCGCTGGCGAAAGCTAGTATGACATAATTACATTGTTATTAGAATATAATTGCTTTATTCTATCATTTTTTGCCTTTGTACTTTGTACTGTTAAATATTTCAGAATTCTATTAGAATTATTTATGTATATTTGACTTGATATGTAGATTTGAGTTGGATGGATTAAATTTAATCGAATAGGGAGAAAGGTCCCATGATCCAGTGTTGAATTGTGGGTTTGAAAGACTGTAAATGCAGCCGGGATCAACGGTTAAGGTGTACACTTTCCGAAGCACGAAATAGCTCGAGATACTAAAATTTTGGTCACCCATCCTATGAGCGGTCCATCCGAAAGTTGCTTAACTTCCACATTGGAGACCGATCGCTCTTATCAGTTTTTATATACAGGAAAAAAATATCAGTGCCCATTTTTTTCTTACGGTTATGTATCGTTTTTAACGGACTTCAAAAAAAAGGAGGAGGTTCTCAATTTAATGGTATTTTTTTTCCTTTTGTTACCTCATAACTTTTTAGTGGGTGGACAGATTTTGATGATTCTTCCTTCATTTGAATGGGTACCGTGCCATTTCAATTTGAAGTACTGGCAATGGCATGTATGAGAAAACCACATAAGTCTTAAATTTGCATTAAGTATGCGTGATGTTTGTTACCTCAAAACTCAAAATATCACTAAAATACATGAAAAAAAAACAACTTTAAAATAAAATGGTACTAACTTCATTGAGTGGAAATTTAATTAACTAGAGAAATATTTAATCCAGCCTAGACAAATACTATAATCAGTTTGTGAATAATTGGTATATTCTGGCATATTACAGCTGTCCGGTAGGTATCAGGCATTGCGTGGCGGCACTAATTACTTTTTGGTATCTGAAACTTCCTTCTACCTCTTGTCTTTATCTCCTTACATTGATGACACGTTGTTGGACATCATTGATATTCATGTATTTGAATGATTATATTGATGTATCATAAATGCTCGGTGGCGTAGTGGATTAGCGCCGCTGCCCGTGATCGTAGTCGTTAAGCAACTTTCGCAAGGGTCGGTCACGGGATGGGTGACCAAAAAATTATTATCTCGAGCTACTCCGTGCTTCGGAAGGCACGTTAATCCTTTGGTCCCGGCTGCATTTACAGTCGTTAATACCCTCCAATCTGCATTGGGCCATCGTGGAGGGTCATGGCCCATCCTCCTTAGCCATCCATAAGGAAGGCCTGAGCCCCTGCAGTGGGGACGTAAAAGGGCTGATGATATATATATCATGAATGCATAAAATTTGGTTATTTTTCTTTCTAAAAATTGGCATCTCCATATAATTTAGATTTAACAGGTGACACATACTATAGTTCGTAAATATTTATGTTGGCTATTCTGATAACAACCAGTGTTATTTGAGTTACATTTTGACAATAATAATTGTTCTCTGCGACTTCATCCGCGTAAATTATAGTATGTCACTTTATAATATAGCTTAAATCAAATCAAATTATTCAGTCTAAGCTGTTACAAGTACTTGTAAAAGTCAAAGCTTATTTAATAGTTTTATTTAATTAAACTGAATTGTAATTATTTCTATTTATATACATTAATAACGTGTAACGTATATATGTAGAGGTATTTTCCACATTTACTACTTAAAAATGCTTATTTAAGAGCCCCGTCATTAAAACAAGTAATAATCAAACCCATTTCATTTCGCTTTCCAATAATACCGATAAAGCAATATCGACATTCAAACTATCGATTAGAACCACCATCGCTTTAAATGTCTTAGCAATTCACGCAGTACTTTTAACTTTTAAAAATTAAATTAGTGGTTCCCATCTCTCATTGACTGAACGGACGAATTATATTTCTGGCTTAACATTAATGGTGTTGACAAATCTAATCGCAGTTTTTAAAGCCGAATGACATAGATTTCATTAAGATTTTGAGTAATTTCGATAAGGCGTTCGACATATTTCGCAGTGTTCGATGGTGCAGTGGTTAAGGCGGTCTGCAATATGTTTGTTAAGTAACTTTATCGATTTCCTCCGAACTTCGGAAGGCACGTTAACCTTTTTTTTTATTTATTTTTTTTGTACCGAGGGGAACTGACCTTAACATGCCATCGACCTTGATGAGAGGCCGACTGAACCCGGGCTCTCCTAATGCGGAATTTAAAGAACCCCTATCTACAGCAGGCCTACCGTGCAAAACCCCCGTATTACCCTCACAAGGGTCTGGGAGCTAGTATCTGGCAAGGAAAGCCCAGGTTACAGACCAAGGCACGTTAACCTGCATTGGTCCCTACTGCAACTGTAGTCAAACGACAAACCGCTCTGGGCCCGCGTGGTGGTTCATGGCCTATTCTCCCCATTCGATTTGATTTTATTCCATCATAAGACGGTCATAACTCACCATTGTATCGAATGTGCAATTTATACAACTCCGTCAGATTCGATTTTGACATCTTTGATGGTTCTGTGGCCTCAGCAAAAAAGGTCTTAAAAGATATATTTTTTATAAAAGCATTAATTTTATTCACATTTCTAAATCTAAAACAAATACTTAAATTTAAATTCTTCATGTTGAATGTCTCTAGAATAGTAAATAATCCATTCCTGTAAGAATATGAACTTTCATTACATTAACTTACTTATGCATGTTGTGCTTACATCGAGTAGTTTTTAATGTAGTCTCAAAGATTCAAATGTTTTCTATGTATCAATATTATCATTGTAAACCAGTTTTGTGAGCCTAATAAAAAAATAAAAATAAGGAAGATCTGAGCCCCAGCACTGGGTACATTAATAGGATGGAAATCACAATGTGTGTGTGATCGACTTATTTAGCAAAAGTATATTTTGGCATCGTAGAATATTTATTCAAATGCACGTAATACGGTCAGTATCAGAAAATTGAACCAGAACTTCAGTCAGGAAGATTGTCAGAGTGAGGTCGGCGTAGAATGGAGTGACGGTCCCAATTAGCACAATGCAATTAGTGTTGTGACACTAACCCGGGGGCCGGATCGACTAATGTATTGACGCCTGCTAACAATACTAAAGTAGCTTACCTATTATATGTAATGTTATTTTAGTGTTAACCTATTAGACTGGTGGAAAAATATAGCTTTGAGTTCTTAAAGCAGCGGTTTATAACCTTTTTTTATTATGAACTATAGGAAACTTATTTTACGTAAACCTTAAAATACTAATAATACACACATTATAAGCAGTTGGTTATTATGCTTTTGCATTATCTAGTTTTTAGGTAATGTTATGCTTAAAGTTTTGAATCAAGTGACAGACGACAGAATAGTTGATTTACTGGGGGTAATTACCCCTTGGATAGGTAAGTATTAGATATTTCATGGATGCGTTCGAATTCTATCCTACTTTACATAAATACGATATTTAGTTAATTCAGAAATCAGAGGAACATGTAGTTATATACAGGATTGCTTCCACATACCAAAATTTTATAGACTTCGAAATAATAAGCAGCTAACAAAAGTTAAAAAAAAACGAATCCCGTAAATAGCTATTACTCCAAAGTTATTAATCATAAAAAATTGAAACAACATAAATATACAGAGATATTGAAAATGATCTAATAGTTTTCAAAACCTAATAGAAATTATTAAAGTTCAAAAGTTGTACTGAAACATTTGAAAAGTTAAAACACAGATTCAAAAAGGCCTTATCTTTATTTCATAGGCCACTAAACAGTATTTCAAATCAATACAAGAATTTTACGACCGCCTCTGAATGGCTGTACACTTTCGAAATCGTAACGCTCATGAAATGTAGAAAATAACGATTGTTCCTTCGTAAAGGTAATATAACACTTCGATTTATTTACATTGTCAAAATTAAAGTTATATTTATTTATTAATTTTTTATTAAATTCTGTTACACGTATTTTTAACATGTTTATTTGCATCGTATAGGCTCCGGAATTACTGGACCGAACGAAAATATTTCTTTTACCTACGAGAAATTACATCATACGCAGGTCAGGCAATAATTTACAAATAATGTCGCGGGAAAACATTTATAATAAATATAACGTTTTAATGATTATTCTATTGAAAGTAAGGCATTTTTCACTGTAGATATATTAAATTTCAGTAATTTATATTCAAATAACAAAACTGATACTTTGCGAGCACGAGCTTTCTAATGAATAGTTTAATAATAATAATAAAATCTATATATTTTCTTTACTATACAGATGCAGAGACAATGGTTTGTTATAACTATTCTTAGTTTACTTTATGATACCACTTTTACTACACACACAGAGATAAAAAACAAAGATTATAAAATTAAACAATTAGAAAAAATTAAAGACGAGCTGTATGTAAAAATCAATGAAGCAATAGATGATAGCGTTAAAGTTCTCGAAAAAAATAATGACACAGACTCATTATTGACAGTGACTAATATGAAAGAATTAAAAAAACAAATCGACGAACTCAACTCTACTATTGGTGTAGATAATATTACGATACCCGAAGATCCGTTTAAAGGAATTGTTGAAATACACGACGATACATTTTCAGATATAGAAATACGGAAAAGAAAGAATATATCAGATGTCAGACGGGCAAGTGCATATGGTGCTATTGCTAGTAGTCAAAATCATAAATTACAAATTGATATGAAGGAAATACTAGATTTAATAAAAACTAAGGAACTGTTTTTTACAAAAGAGAAAGGAATCAAGGAGTCAAAACATGACTTAGAAGTAAAAAAGAAAGCAGAGGAATGGATAGAGCAAACGAAGAGGGAGAGGGAAAAGATTAAAAAGTATAAAGATGAAATAGAGAGATATGGTACAGAGACGTGTCCGAATTTTGGTTTGAAAAAGAGAAAGAAGAAAAAGTCGACAAGGAGAAAAAGGAAGAGTAAAAAATCGAAAAAGTCAAAGAAAAGGGATAGAAAATACCCTTGTTGTAGAAAGTGTTGCAAGAAATCTTATTTGGGATGTTTGTAAATGAAAACAACCAAATATGGATTAGTATGCCAGAAAATATTATCTAAAATAATCTTCATAACATAATGTCACTTTATCGGATAATCACACCAATCAATCAACACATGTGTGTACCTTGTATTATATAAAAACTAGGAATTTTGATGTGCGCGATTCAGGCATAGTCTAGTGCGTAGATCAAAGTAAATGATGTAATAAAGAATCTTCTTTGGAAATAAAACTAATATTATTATTATGAGTACTTTGAAATAAGCCTATCGAATCCATAAACTACAAATTATTTGAGCTTATTGACATTTTACAAATTTTAGAAGGAATTTCAATATCAGAGATTATCAGACAGTTGCACAAACGTCCATTAAGGTTTAATGACGCCTTTAAACACTAAAGGATGACACTCATGTATGGGTAATATCGCCTTAAACTAATGATATGTTTAATGGACATTTGTGCAACTGGCTGAATATTCCATATTCAGTTTCTTTCCTCTAAATATTAAAAAAAAGTAGCAATATGCTTTCTTTAAATAAAAAAATTCGATTCAGGATTGTTTTGAATTATTGCACAGTAACTAACAAATTCAAATATAAATTATTTAAAATGTAAATCCTAGTTACATTTTTTTTCTGTTTTAACCTACTTATATCGGAGAAAAAGAATAAAAAAAAGGTTTATTTAAACACGTTGCTACTTACTGATAGGTATATCTATTATACCCGTATATTAAAGACGGATTTTTCTCAATATAACTTCAATTTGTCTTTGAGCGACTTCAATTTGACTTCAATCTGTCTCTATTAAATTTCACGCCTAAACTATTGAAACAATTTTAATGAAAGGAGAACTTTTTTTTGTATGGTAGCTGGTACTTTATTAAAATTATCTCTAACCAAGCATAAAGTATATATTAATCGATAGAGGGTAAATAAACCTTACACATGATCATTTTATTTTATTTTTAGGCGCCGCCAAAATGTTTATTTTCTGATTTGAACATCATTTGCGTAGCAACACATAAATACATTAAGAAAATCTATGGCAACCCCATCACTAAGTTACGTTCCAATTCATACTGTGAATCAATCTATTTGGCCAATGTGGAATTATTATTTTTATTTGCTATTAATTATTGCTATTTCAGATCTCTAAATCGCAAATAAAGAGATATTTTAAATGAATCGAAGCTCGTCAATGCAGATTCGGCCTCCTTTGAGTCTATTCAGTGCGTGGCTTATAATAAACACATAGTAAACAAATTATGAATTCGATTTTCACAATATTGATATATGATTCGTCTATTAGGGACGCTAAGTTATTATAAGGTGCTTTGGGGTTATACACAAAACAGTCAAATTCAGGATGCTTAAAAATGATGAAATAACAACAAATCTTGTACTGGATAAAAAAAAAATCTTTTAATTACAACAAACACATTGCTTTTTGTTTAATTTCATTATCGGAATTTCCCCATTTTCGTAATTACCCCAAAGCACCCTACCGAAAGTTAGGCTGTGGACAAAGATCCCTTTGCGTTTCTTTTAATTTTATGCACTTTATTTTTTTATGAGTTTTATGGCTATGCATACTAGTGTTTCTAGGCAAACTATACCAACTTAATTATCTAAAACGGGGGAACTTTCAGACCTGAAACTTTGTTGAAAGATAAAGGATTGAGTCTAGATGCTATAATAATTTTCTTTATAGTGGTTAGATTTTTTCGGAATAAAGTACAAAAAAAAAACATTCTCCTTTGGTATATAGATAGAGTGGACTTTGAAAAAGAACCGTGGATAATTTTTATCGTGAAAATTAACCAAATTCCACGTGACTGAAGCCGCGGGTTTGGTTAATAAATATTTAAATGTGAAGTAATAATACTATATTTTGGTAAACTTACCTGTCAGTTTTTCTGTTAACCCCTCTAGATACCTCACTCGGCTCAAACCTACATATGCTTGATCTTTAGCAAAAATCCGCGAACTTAAATCAACCACAGCTTGGTCCAAAGTAGTTCTTGGTACTTAAAAACTTAATAATTTGTGAACGGCTCACTATATCTAAAAACTTTACATGTACCCTAAAAAAAAGGTTTTTGACGATTTTATTGTACCACTCTCTCGGCATTATTGATATGTATACCCGTGCCAAAAAATATTTTTTTATTACTTATAGTTTTTGAACTAGACCGCGGCCAGACGGACATGGCAAATCTATGATGGCTTTCTTGTAGGGACTACAGAACCCTAAAAAAGACTTAGTAAACCTAATTCAAATACCTAATCAACGATAAGCCGATAAGCCGTTTGGTCTCTACAATGCCAGTGAGGAACAAACATACATTGCCCTCCTTTGCGTTGAGCATTCGGGAAAAAAACATGAATAGGGTATATTTTTTGTCTCTTTTTTTAGCCTGCTAACATCGGAGATAGAAATATGTGTTAAACGTATACCTATTGAACATGATGGTCGATGACCGTTTATTATCCTTAACCAACAATCACATCTTGTAAACTGACTACATTTCTTTAATGAATAATATTAGTTTTACATTAGAATCAGTTGTAAACAAAAATTGTTAGCACGAAAACTTTTGATTTAGGAGTGTATTTAAAAAAAATAATACCTTCTCTTTGGTTACAAACTGGCTATAATTAATTTCATAAAGCCTAGTGATTGATCCGTCGAAATCTGACAGACAGATATAAAAATGTAAAGGATTGAAAATGATTCTGATATTTCTCAAAATCACACCCCTACATATTTTAATTGAGAAAATTTTAGAAATTCGCCTTAAGTAAATGCCATACTCGTATATCCATACTCGTTCTTCCATAGTTCTTCATTTTTTAATTTTTAGACTATTTGCGTTTACACAATTTCGTCAATTTCACGTTGGTGGCCTTTACACATAAAGAGACAATAACAAAATATTATAATTTTGTATTTTATGGTAATTTAATAAGAAAAAAATCTATAATAATAAATATTCTTTATTTATTATTAAATGTTTTTTTTTCTTGTTAATCCCCTCAATATGCATGTCATTTTTTAGTTATCTTATGACATTTAATATCCACACTTCTTGGTTTTTCTTATATTCATATAAATGTATTTTTTTGTGCTAAGATAAAGTTAATCTTTCGGTGATTTAATCTTGTTTTAATGTAAAGTGCAAACACGTAGTACAAACCCATCTGAGGGAATTAATAAAACGTTACTTGATGAATAATCTACCCTTGTTATCACAAAATGGCTTCAGATACACACAGTTATATCGTGCGATGAGTATTTTAATTATATCCCACAATTGTACATAGTTCAAACCCATAACACAATGCCTAAATGGAGCCTTAAATTATTAATAACTTAAAGCTGTATTTTGGTACATGAGAAGGTATTTTTTAAACTCGTAGGGGTTTTTTTAAACCTAGATAACGTACCAGTCCCATCGAAATAATTTGATTAAGTATCATCTCCCAGACTTTCAGCTGCAATTTTCTGTTTGATGCTGGATTAGGAAGTATTAAGCTTCAAATTGGCAACTACATTATCTCACTTAGATTGATTCTTGCTTTATTCAGATATATGGAAGTCATCCTCAATATTTACACACGTATCACTAAATTGGGAAAATATTGGGACAGTTTATTTTTTTTTTGTATCCAAACTTATTGAGCGGAATATTAATTAGGGGTAGAATACGAAAATTTTAAGCAACTCCTTTCACGCTTTCGCTAAAAAGGGGTCAGACGTATAACGCTATGTATTTAAATTAGTCAAAGTGATATAGATACATGTTCCTACTAAAAAGTTTTGAATGTTTCACTTTGATAATTAGATGTCAATGGTATATTAATTATACTTCGGTTATGACTATGATTCGTTCTGTGTCTTGGAATCAATTCAGTTGATTCAATTCCAAGTTTATCACAATTATAATTGGATGGATCAAATGCGTCATTGGTGTTGTAGTATTGCCATCTTTTGACTAGAGAATTTATTTAAGTCAAAGCGAAAGTATGTGAGGCCCTCACCATCCGATCCACCATGTCTACCAATACCGCGCCGCTCGTGACTTTCATCATCAGCCTCGGATTTGTAGTATCTATACAGGGTTATTTTTAAAACACCAACAACCTCAAAATATGGGATATCCAACATTATAAACAACAACACTTCAAGCTTAACCATAAATTCAATACTTTATGTGTTTTTTTTTTCAACATTTACTACTATAATTTCATTTATTAACAAAAAATTACGCCATGGTTGCGCGCTGACGTATCTTGGTGATGGGTGCACAGTTATTAATATTTTCGTGGTAAATAAAATTAAAATTTGTTTTTGTATGAAAGCAATATGTAACAATCTATCAAAAGTCATAGGACAAGCATTATTTATGATGTTACGAATTAGCACGACACCGGAGGGTCAATTCAAACGAAAATAGGAAGATTATCTGTGCATCAGAAGCAATTTTCTTTTTCCATTGCATGATAAATTATTGAAAAATGCGTTTTCACTGGAGCCATATTAGTATTTCGTGAATAGCCGAAATATCATTTCCGGAATAATAGGCATTCTTCCTTAAAATTTGTTTATGGAAGAACATGTCAATTCGTACTAATAGTAACTATGTAGTCTTGAAAGGTTATTTTTAAACCTGTATATTTTGCTCTTGTATGTAGATACAGATGGAAGAAAAATCAATTACTTTTTTAACATTTTCCATTCTCCGTGTTCATGTGTTAAGCGAAATGTTTCTGCTGTACAAACCGACGGACGACGCCGCTACCGGTGTGTGCACAGTCAAATATTTACACGGACGTAATACGAATAATTACGTTCGAGGATTTTTTTCAGGAAACGTAGAAAATATACAACCTTCGCCCGCACAAAACAGATTGTAATATTTTATTCTGGTGTAATATTTTATTTGACTTTAAAAATTTATTTAATAATGTTATTTATTATATTTGATAAATTTCGCATTCACAATG